CAGTGATGGCGAACCTATGACACGTGTGTCAGAGGTGACATGCGAACTCATTTTTTTTGGTTGATTTTTCTTTGTTAAATGGCATTTAAATATATAAAATAAATATCAAAAATATAAGTCTTTGTTTTACTATGGTTGCAAATATAAAAAAAAATTCTATATGTGACAGGGCCCCAGAGTTAAGGTAGGTTTTTTCAAAATGCTGACACGCCGAGTTCAAAAGGTTCGCCATCTCTGCTCCAGGTTACCCTGTTCTATGAGCCATACTCATAGCTCTCTGTGGTTGAGGCTCTGGCTGGATTTCTGATCTTCCTAATCATTTTGATGGTCATATCTCCTTTGTCTTGACATAGCACACCTGTACCTATAAGTTATTATGTTGAGATTGTCCGTCCCCATTACTACTGGAAGCCATTTTGGGGAACACGGACCCTACCAGATCCTGACCTTCAGCTAAATTCATCAGTGAGCTTTTTTAAAAAAATATATTTTATTGATTTTTTACAGAGAGGAAGGGAGAGGGATAGAGGGTTAGAAATATCTATGAGAGAAAAACATCAATCAGCTGCCTCCTACACACCTCCTACTGGGGATGTGCCTGAAACCAAGGTACATGCCTTGACCGGGGAATCGAACCTGGGACCTTTCAGTCTGCAGGCCAATGCTCTATCCACTGAGCCAAACCAGTTAGGGCCATCAGTGAGCTTTTTGAGAATTCTGGTGCTCTTCTCATCCATGCTTTCCTCATCAGCTTCATAAACCAGAATTTAGCTTTAGGTTTTCCCAGGGAGCAGGTTGATTGGACACTTTTCTGCCTTTTCATATTGTCTCCCCCTGGCATAGTCACTTCTCTGACATATCTGGTCCCTTCCTCTCCTATGTGCCTCAGAAGTTCTGGCTTTTCTGTCCCACGCATTGTAGCCATGCCTTCTCCCAAGTTTGCAAGATCTATCCTAGCAGCAAGTTAGCACTGCCTCCCTGGGCCATGCAAAGTCCCATGACCCATAATTGTATACTTCCCTTTCTCCAACCTTAGAATGAATCCAAATTCCTCCACCTGCCACCCAGCTTTCCCAACAGCAGCCCCTACATGCTGGGTACTGGGCCAGTTTCTGACAATCCTTGGCCATTTAGAACTATCCTCCTAGCCACCTGCTATGTCCCTGCATTGGTTATGGGCTGATGATGAGTATAGGCCTGGTGGACTGAGGGAGGACGTATCTGGAGATGTGCGGTTTCCTGGCAGGCAGACGCCTCCTGGTCCTCCTCAGGGAATGGAGAGGCACCAACCTTTCCCTGGTGAAGGGAGGCACTGGGCAGGGTCATGGCTGCTCTGCCAGCCCAGCCATCAGGGGGATGGCCTTGCTGTCACAGAGATGGGGGAGTGAGTGTTTTGGGTCTTTCTCTTCCAACCCCAATCTCAGCAGCATTTTTCGTTCACAGATTCTCAACTCTTCACTATGATTTCAACATTTCTTCTAATGAACAAAAATGGTGTACGGTCCAAGTACAGATGGATGGACAGAAGTTTCTTTTATATGACTTTGGCAGCAATAAGGTCATATCTATGAATCTTCTGAGGGAGGAGGGAAAGGCCATGGATTCCTGTAAAAAGGAGTTAGGTACCCTGAGCGACATGGGAAACGAATTAAAATCATTATCTACTGACAATAAACAGGAGAAAGACGCAGATCGAGGTAAGTTTGAAAAATCCATGGGCAGAAGTGAGCAGAGTGTGGGGCCAGCTATGTGGATTGTATTCATTTAAAAAGAAAACTGGATGCTGGGCCTTCCCACGTAGCCCAGCAGAAAGGTCGGGGAGAGCAGGGCAGGGTTAGAAGTGTTCAGAAGAGGTGGACGCCAGGTGGGTGAAGCATTTGTCAAGACCAGAGGCTGATGTCTTTCCCATGGGGACTGTGGGGCAGCTCCTCTCCCCCTGCAGGTCAGGATGACGTGCATGTGCAAAGCCGATGGAAGAACCAGTGGATCCTTGGAGTTTTCCTTGGGTGGAGAGAGGTTCCTTACCTTTGACTCTGAGACAGAAGAGTACAGAGCGGATAATTCCCTAGGTGAACGGCTGAAAAAGAAGTGGGAGAATGATGAGGATTTGAACAAGTTCTTCAAAATGACCTTAAAGGGAGACTGCAAGAAATTGCATCAATGCTCAGTGCACTGGAAGAAACACCTGGAGAGAACAGGTAACAGGGGAGACAGGGATGGTGTAGTTCTCTTGAGATAAGCTAGACCTACCCTTGTTAGAATGTGTGTGTGTAAGAGTGTGTGTATGTGTGTCTCAGTGTGTAAGAGTGTGTGTGAATGGGTGTGAGTGTGTTTGAAAAGTGACTAATCTGCGGCGAGTTCTTGGGAGAGTAATGGCCATGGGTGTGTTCTACCATCTCTCCTTTCCCTTCTCATCTCCTCAGGAATCTGTTCTCAGACTTGTTCTTTACTGTTCCCCCTTCTTGGCATCGCTTTTCTTCTTCATCTCACCTGGCCTATTTCTGGAAATCCTTCAATATCACCTCCAATCAGCTCCTGGGAAGACTTCTCTACCACCTTGCTCGTGAGTGTCCTCTTCTGTCACAGCAGGAGTGACTGGGTATATTATAACCCTTGCTTCCCTCATGAGCTTTATAGACCCAACGGGGTAGTGCCCATCTTCTATCATTGCTCCAGCCCCAGGATCTCTCACTATTGCTGCCACACATAGAGGGTAGAAACTGTCTGCATAACAGGATTACATGGGAATGTAGGGACTGAGGAGACATCTTCTCAGAATTGGGCTCCGCACAGATGTCACTCTTGTGTTCCATTGCAGCTGCATCAACCACTGCCATAGCCACAGTCCCATCCAAGGCCGCAATGAACATGCCCATCGCCTGGTGGATCTGCCCTGTGATCCTCACCTGGATAACCATAGTTGGCTTCCTAGGTGGGTCCTTGCAATTACAGTTACTGAGGGCAGGATTGAGTGGGAAGTGAGGGCCAGATGGCTTGCAGTGAGGATATGGAGAGGTGAATTCCAAGCCCGACCACTGCAACCTCAATGTCACTTCTCCTCCTGCAAATTAGCCCAACTGACCTACATGTATTATCACTTCATAGCCATAACTTGGACAAGCTCAGCCCTGAGTTGGGCATCTCCTCACTGTTAATGCCAGCGGGAAAGGGAAGGGCCCAGACCAAGCTTAAGGCCTGTAGATGCTGAAGGGGTTTAGAGAATTCAGTTCTGAATCAGATACTCTGTTTGGAAAAGGGTGTTTGGGCTCAGTGTGGGTGGTGTGGGGACAGTAGGCACATAGGGCATGGGCAGTGCTCACATTCAGGTGAGAGCCGCATGCTGGCTGCATGTGATGTGTCCAGGGGAGGGGGAATATCCAGGGGGCTGAGAGGAGAAGGGCCCGGGTCTAATGCCAGGAAAAGGGCAGAATGCCTTGCAGACCCAACTCAAAATGCTGGAGTTCACCTCCACCTTCCCAGAGAGTGTCTTCAAAAGAGCCAGAAAGGAGGGAGGCAAACAGTAAGGATGGTGTAGGGAGGCAAGAGTAAGGTTAGAAGGAGGCCAGTTCTCAGTGAACCCTTTGGATTGCTGGCTGAGCCCTGGTGCAGTCATCTGGCAGCAAGCCTCCTCCACACTCCAGATCCTGAGCCTCTGAATGGCTCCTGCCTTTAACTGGGGCTGACCATGAATGGATGGGAAGGGCGGGGACTTTCATACTGAGAGTTCCCTGTGCTGCTAGGTAAGAGGCTGGGAGAGAAAGGAAAAGAAGGGTGTTGGACTGCAACCCTCCCCAAGCTGTCAGGTGTTAGGATGTGCCCTCCTGTCCTTCAGGGCTCCCACCAGGTCCTTAGACGCTCCCACCACCCAGAAGGTCCGACTTGAGTGAGAGAAGGCTAATGAGCCATTCATTACTCACTTTAGTCCTGAGCCCAGAACATCTGTAGCAGGGCTGGGGTGACGCTGTGATGTGCAAAGGGTGGCCAGAGCTTAGTACAGGCTGCTGGTCTCAGGGCAGGGGTGGCAGGTTCAGGGAAGAAGTGACACTGGTGAGGGCAGGGCTGGAGATGGGAAGTGACTGGGGTGCTGTAGCCCCAGGAGAACTGACAGAGGATTTCCTCAGCCCCTGGGACCAACATTCGCCCTTTTCTGCAGGCTGCCGATGCGACAAAGAAGGCCCTGGTGGTGTGGACTAGCTCAGCAACTCTGCCTTTTGCTTGGCTGCTTCTGGATGACCTGCTGTTCTGTTTTTAAAAAATTAATTTATCTTTATTATTTTTAATCTTTATTGTTGCAAGTATTGCATATGCTATTCATTTTATTTAAAAATTTTATATGTAATTTATTGGCATGGCAGGTTAATAAAATTATATAGGTTTTAATTCTATAATACATCATCTGTGCACTGTATTGTATGTTCACCACCCCAAGTCAAGTCTCCTTCCATCACCATTTATCTCCTTCACCCTCGTCTACCTCCCCAGCCCCCTTTACCTCTGACAATCACCATATTGTTGTCTGTCTGTGAGTTTGTGGGGTTTTTGCTTAATCCTGGACTATTTTCACTCAGCTCCCCTCCCCTCTAACAGCTGTCAGTCTGTTCTCTGTATTCATGAGTCTGTTTCTATTTTTTTTGTTGTTAGCTTATTTTATTCTTTTGATTCCACATATAAGTGAGATCATGTAGTATTTGTCTTTCTCTGACTGGCTTATTGCATTTAGCGTAATATTCTCCAGGTCCATCCACTGCCACAAAAGGTAAGATTTCCTACCTTTTTTACAGCCGAGTAGTATTCCATTGTTTAAATGTACCAGAGCTGTTTTATCCACTCATCTATTGATGGCACTTGGGTCTCTCTTCAATCTTGGCTGTTGTAAATAATGCTGTAATGAACATAGGGGTGCATACATTTTTTCCAATCAGTGTTTTGGGTTTCTTTGGATATATTCCCAGAAGTGAAATCGCTGGATCATATGGCAGTTCCATTTTTAATTGTTTGAGATATGGAGATTTGTTTTATAACCCAGTAGAGAATTCAGAGCATCTCACTGTTCCTCCATGTTATGAGGTAAATGTTACCAGTGATTCTACTAGAACAGGGGTCGTTAAACTACGGCCCGCGGGCCACATGCAAATACAAATATTGTATTTGTTCCCGTTTTGTTTTTTTACTTCAAAATAAGATATGTGCAGTGTGCATAGGAATTTGTTCATATTTTTTTTTTAAACTATAGTCCAGCCCTCCAACGGTCTGAGGGACAGTGAACTGGCCCCCTGTTTAAAAAGTTTGAGGACTCCTGTACTAGAACGTCTTGCAGAAACAGAGAATGTGAGGGTCACTCTTCAGTTAGCAGGCATCTTGTTTTGGTCTCAAACATTACCCTGATGCTCTGGATGCAAACAAATGTTCTGGGACTTAACCAATGAGAATCTTATGATTTTTCTAATTCCCCCACCCAACACAGCGACTTTCCTGTGATCCCTCCTCCCTGACTCACCTCCTCCAGTGAGAAGTATACCTTCATGGCAGAAACATCTGTACCTCTCCGAGTTGTTCAATCCCCTTATAACAAAAGATCAGTATCCAGAATATATAAAGAGCTCTTCCAAATAAGTTACAACCTGTCAGATTCCTCCAAGTACAGGATAAGGCATGTGAGGAGTTTATAGATGGATAATACATTTTGAAATGATTGAAAATCTCACAAATAATATAATACAAATGAAAAATACAAGAGATACCCTTACACACCCATGAAATTGTCAAATATTTTAAACTATATTAACCCTAATCACTGGGCAGGAAAGAAAACAATAGGAATTCTGTGCATGATTGTTATGTCTATGAATTGAATCAACCCTGTGAAATATAATGTAATAATATCTAGTATAGTGGACTATGTACTCTTTCTACAACATGGCAATCTGAGTGTTGGTTCCAGTCATACAAACTTGGACCAGAAAGTATGTGCATACTATATGGTTTTTTATTGTAGCACTAGAGGCCTGGTGCACGAAATTAGTGCACTGGGGTGGTGGCGGGGAGGGAATGATGTCCCTCAGCCTGACCTGCACCCTCTCCAATCTGGGACCCCTAGGGGATGTCCAACTGTCAGGCCTAAACTGGCAGTTGGACATCCCTCTCACAATCCGGGCCTGCTTGCTCCTAAACACTCACTGCCTACCTGCCTGTTTGTCCCTAACTGCTTCTGCCTGCCAACCTGATCGCCCCCTAACTGCCTGCTGGCCTGATTGATACCTAACTGTTCCCCTGCTGGCCCGATCGCCCCCAATTGCCCTCCCCTGCTGGCCCGATGGCCCCCCACTACCCTCCCCTCTGGCAAAATGGCCCCCAACTGCTCTCCCCACTGCTGGCCTTGTCATCCCCACCTGCCCTTTCTTGCAGGCCTGGTTGACCCCAACTGCCCTCCCTTGCTGGCTCAATCGCCCCCAACTGCCCTCCCCTGCTGGCCTGATCACCCACATCTGCCCTCCCTTGCCGGCCATCTTGTGGCGGCCATCTTGTGATGAGTGAGGGTCTCGCACAAGGGTGCAAGGACCACCTACGCTTTATTAGTATAGATTGATTTTCATAGCAAAAAATTAGCAACAGGTTAAATATCCTGAAAAGGAAAATCTATTGAAAATATTGGCAAATGTAGAGAGCCTCTGGGAAGCACACGGACATTTCTTTAAATTGTCAGCTGAATCCAGGGCAGGAGGCAAAGCCAGGTCCTGGAAACACATTTTGCCAAAAGGTAGAAGTGTTTTCAGCTTGACCTTCATTTCTGCCCAGGTGCCAGGGAGTGGGTTTTATTATGTAAATCCAGCCAAGCACCAGGAATGAATATGACTAGGGCCCACCTAGAAGTGACGATTTACAAAGAAGCTACAAGAATGCACATATTCCCCTTTCCTTGACCTTTATTAAAACTTCCTGGTATTTGGGGTATAAAATAAACACACTGTATTGGCTCTGGATCACTGTCTCTCCTTTAGAAGAGGGCAGGGGTCCCACCTGGTCCCAGCTTTTTCTTTCTCTGTGTCTGCTTTCTTTCATTTTTACAATCCCCAGCAGCCCCTACTCAAGAACTGAACTGCTCTCTAGCCGTGCTGAACGCCGAAAAGAGAGAACCCTCAATAGGCAAAATATTTGTATTTCTTTCTACCTGATAGAGTAAACAATCTAAACCACTGTCAAAAATGAAACAACCAAATTGTTGGATGAAAAATGTTTAATTAGCGTAGCGCTACCCTTCCCATTGGCTAATCAGGGTGATATGCAAATTAGCTGCCAGCCAAGATGGCGGTTAACCGCCAACAAAGAAGATGGCTAATTTGCATACATAGGCGCAATGATGGGAGGCAAAAGGGGAAAGACGGAAG